GCATTTCTTGTTGTTTCTCATAATTCCAAATCTCCATTTCTAAAAACTGAAATACGAAGCCAAAAGAACCTCTCCCTTCTTGTGCATCTTCTTTGTACTTATTAAGTTCCATTTTCAGTTCTTCTAAAAGTGGAGCCATTTTAAACAGTTTTAAACAACCACCTGATTGATTTTAGTCATTCAAAACAATAACCAAGAATCCAGAAATCATCAAGTAATCCAGATAGTCCCGAGTTATATCTTCTTATTTCTTTTTCGACTTTCTCTTCCTGGGGTTTTTGTTGCGATATTTCAGTTAGAATGTATATTTTTGGAAGTCTTGTTGAGCTTTTACTGTGAGATCTTTTTAATTCCAGGCAGTCTCCTCCCTTCCAGATCCTGCCCTTTTATTCTTTTTCTCTCCTTTCCTGTTTTCAAAAGCTTTTAATTATCCAGAAATCTTTATTATCCCTTTGACTTTTTATTTTCAGCATTAAATGCCTATTGATGTCAAAGTTGATTTTTTTTCCAATTTCTTACTTAAGTCTCTTAGCTGCCAGTATAGGAAAAGGAGAAAAAAAAACCCAAATCTTTTCCCTTTTCTCTCCCCTTCGCAGCTTAAAAATCTTCTTAGGGAACAATGTTATTGTTTTTAATAGTTTCAATTCCAGGGTACCTTATTTGTTGCTTTTGCTGTTTGACCCGGTCAACCAAAACTTTCTCCTCTTATCTTCCTCCTGCACATTCTTTTCCGGTCGAGTTCTTCTTTGTGGTGGCCATTTCTGACCACCGCTGCAACCGCCTTTGGGAAAGGGAGTAATGGCCAGCTGGGGAGGAGAGATGCGGCTTTCCTCAACCCTGCAGGCAGTCTCCCCCCTCTTCACCACCTCTTCGGGGTGGCTTAGCCCCGAAACCAGCCAGCTCGGGGCGCTCCAGCGGCGAGCACGGATCGAAGCCTCGCAGAGACGAGGTTTCGGTCTGTCGCTGAAGAAGCTCAAACCGGAAGTCCTATATTCCTTTCCTATGCTTCTGTATATATTAGTAAAGCGCAAGACAGTGAAAGGATGTTAACTAGTCTTTCCTGAAGTAAAAAGTGATTTAAAAATGATTTATGAAAAACATATTTCCCATTATTCTGCTAATATTCCATTTCTGTATGGTCTTCTCTTTTATTTCAACATTGCTTAGAATGCATGTTTAGGTTCCAATAACAACACATTTTTTATTCTCCCAATCAGATATGTTTTGAATGCCATTAAAACATTTATTAAAAAATAAAGCATTTCAGGGTTCATTATATGTATGCTTGTCCAGGTATAAATAAAGTGACTGCCACTGAAAAAAAATACAATGTAATATAGCTGATAATGATATACTTTACAAATGCCACAACCATTCTGTAAACCTAGACTTTCATAATTATGTCATACTTAATAGAAAATTATTTTGTTAAGCACAGAGAGACAGCCTTTGAAGATCTTGGAGTGACCATAGCAAAATGAAAACAGCAATGAACTATTATGTTCTTTACCCCTTTGTGTAATATTACACTTATTTGCTCTTTATTTAAAGCTGAAAATGGCTACTGTTTCTCCTCTTTCAGAGTAGTTTATATTAAGACTATAGTGACTGCAAACAATAAGATGGATTGCTTAAAGAAAAAACAGTCTAGAATTGACGTCACATTTTTTCTCATGAAGGAAAAAGTTCTAAACAGAGGCAAAAAAAAAAAAATTCCAATCAGTTCCAATTTTTTTTTTTTTTTGAAAACAGTATCATACTGTTTTAGCTCTTTTTTTGGATTATTTTGAAACACCTGCAATTATAATATATGATATAAGTAGCTATATAAGTCCTGTAATAATATGACATGATATTATTTCTAAATACTTTGTTACCAAGCATAAGCAAGTCATTCCATGGAGGGAGAAAGATTTAAAAAGATATGATTTTATATCTATTCTCAACTCTTAAAGTGGTAGATTATTCACACATCTTTCCATATTTATGACTTGGGAATTAGAAATCAGGTGTAAAAGACAGTAGGGACCACATTTTCTTTTCTGAATCTCTGCCAGTTTTAACTTAGCTGCAATATCAGAATAAAGCCTCATACATTTCCCTTATCTCAGCTTCATGGAATTCCTGTAGAAGTACAAAGGTCTTTTCTTTACATCTGTACTTCACATCTGCTTTCACATCATGTTGTAAACAGAACCTCTGACAAAAGTTTCAAGTAAGAAAACAGCTGTGATGACATGTTCACGCATTTGGACCATTCCATAAGTGCAAACTAACATAAGGAACACAACATAATCTTTGATTTATAAACATAAATGATTCCCCCTATATTATGGTTACTTTGTGTTGTAGTTTTATGCTTTACTGATATCCCATAATGTGAAAGTCTATGTAGGTTTCAAGTAATTGGGGAGGCGAAGGAATAGAGAGAGACAAAATATAAGTAGGAAGTGGAGTCAATAATAGCAGTGGACTTCATCTCCCCTCATCTGGGAATGTTAATTATTGTTCATTAGGTAAATACCTTTCAAAACAGGAAAACAGAAATTGTTGAGGACCATAAATACTTATTGCTCTAGCAGCTTACAAATAATTTGTATATGTTAACTATAATCTGACTCATGTTACAAGGTTCAGATAAGGGTAATTTTACAAAGATAAGGGTAAATTTACCTCAGAGATTTTAGGTAAACATATGTTCTGTGTCCATCCTCCTATACTGCATTCCTGTGGCCTCACACACTGATTGCCACACCATCCACAGTTCATAAAAGAAGGTGCTAGAAGGCACTGACCACAGGTGCTGAAGTGAGAACATCCTGGTCCATTTAGAGGAATCTTGGTTACCTAAAGTGTAAAACATGACAGAGAAATAGAAACTGATTATGAAGGTTAGCAGAAGATTTACACAAAGCTAAGGTGCTAGTAAATTTCCAGTACCTAACTTTATGGCCAACACAAAACAAAAAAAATAAAAACCCTTCACATCCTGTGAAATCTTCTTGGTGCCATGAATGAGAGCTACCCAGTATACCATGGATTTCTATTGTTATTTATCATGCATTTGCCGTATCTTGTTCAGGTATTTTTTAAAAGTTTTGTTGATCAATTTGCATTTCTCCAGTATTTTACCTTTTTTGGTTACCATAAAACATCAGCTAAAGAGGAATTACTGATAATCTCTAGAAGCAACCTGTCTGTCACCAGGAACTGTACAACAAGAAGAGTTCCTGATGAAGCATGCAAAAATCATCTATCTTATTGTACTTGCAAAGGTGCTCCATATTTTATTACCATATATCGGTATAAACAGATTATAATGAGGACCCAAATTGTTGGGGGCAATATGCTGACTCTGTAAACTGCTTAGGGAGGACTGTAAAGCACTGTAAAGCGGTAAATAAATCTAAGAGCTATTACTATAATGTAGATTCTATACAATTTACAGCCTAAAGTTGAGCATGATTGTGACATTAATGGAGCTTAATATTAAATATGTACAGTTAAGATCACAATCTGGTCCATTTAAATTTCAACTTAAAGGCTATGTTTATGCATGCCAGGTTCAACATGAATAGACATTTAAACAAGAACAAACAAAATCTAGCTATATGTATAGTATAATCTCATGGTCAGTACTCAGTGTGTGAAATTCACTGGATGAGATGCCTTGTTCGAAAGAAAAGTTTATTTCCCTCATGCTATCACTCTGCTGAACACCAAATTTTCACAATGCTGTCTAATGTCTATGTGTATTTGTCCATGTTGTTGTATGGCAGTATTATTATTATTTATATTTATTATCTTCTTTACCTCCTTCTCTTATTTGGATTATTATAATAATGATTGTCATTATTTTGTTGCTTTGCATGTACACTACTCTGCTTCCTGTTACTTTCATCTAAGGCAAGAAAAATGCTAACCTGATAAAAATGTATTATAGCTATCCCTATAGGGATAGGAAAGGTCAAATGAAAGTTCACAAAAAAATAGTAAAATAGTTTTGTGATCAATGAAGACTATTCAAAAGCAATCAACCAGATGATCTTTGCTTCTTTTCCATGACTTTCGTTTTATATAGCCTTATAGAATGTGGCAATTAATTGGTATCTATGATGTTTGCAAAAGTATAGAAGAAATGGATAATAATAAGTTTCAAATGCTAATTAATCTTCATATAAAATTAACAAAGGGCAGGAAGTTTAAAGTCTCATTCTTTGTGTATTTTTGTCTTACATACCCTGTTTCCCTGAAAATAAGCCCTATCCCAAAAATAAGCTCTTGCGTGTTTTATGTGTGCCTAATATAAGCCCTACCCCCAAAATAAGCCTTACTTAACACTTGACCAAGAAGCACAAGAAATTATGAATAATATTTTACCTTCTTCCCAGTGATCACCAGAATATGCCCATCATTGCTGAGGGAATTCTCAATGATAACTTCTGAAGAAACAGGCTGGGAATCTAAATGGAAATGCATGTATGGTGTTGTGCGTTCAGAACGAGAGATCACTATCTAAAAAAAAAGAGAAACATTAACAACAATCATACAATTTACATTTATATCACACAGCGATTTTGATCTACAACTATTGCTTTATGGGGGGAGGAGAATGCTTGAAATTGCTTTCATAACATGGCTTCTTTTAAGGGAATATAGGCAGAAACTAAGTAATTTGAATGGAGCACTGGCACTGCAGGAAAGAAGTTTAGGCTGCAGATCTACATCATTTATGATTCTGGTTAATTTTTTTCTTCCCATATCCTTTTTCAGTTCAAGTTCTGCTCTCTGGATGTAATTCATAATGGATGGATTGAACAGGTTTTGTTTTTTTTATTCCAAGTAACTATTGGTAGACATTAATTTTGTTGAGGAAATAGTACAGGTGGGAAAGGTGTACTTTCACTGTCACAGTTTCAACATTAGGCGTCAGCTTCTATAAAAGCATTTCAGTTTTGCAAAAAGCAAAACAGAAAGGACAGCAAAGACTAAAACTCCCACTTCTTAATGAATCTTCTACTATATATCAGAAGTGGGGAACCATGGCCCTTTTATGGCTTGTGGACTTCAACTCCCAGAATTCCTGAGGCAGCATGGTTTTAATATTTTATATTTACATAGATACAGAACTGCATTTCTGTGACGATGTAGTGTTGACATTCAAAAGATTCTGCTAATATGGAGCTGTAGTGCTCATGGCTAACATGGCTGAAAGAGAGTTTGCTACTCTTGATAGGTACATAGCTACATATTAGTTTTCTAAACCCAACCGAAAAAGCTAATATTCTTTAATGCTTTATCAATTCTCAGTCTAGAAACTTATTTTGTAAGTTTTACTGTAGCTTTATATATAAGAGGAAACTAATGAGTACCAATTTGTCCGTAAATAGTCTCAGACAAAAAGAAAAACAGAATAAAGTTTTCACAAAATTTTCCTTATCAGGGCATACAGACTTAAAAAAGAAAAGAAAATGCAAAGGTATATAAATCAGTAAACACTGTACCGATTTAAAAATCATTTTAGGAAAAGCCTTAAAACTTGGCTATGGCAGTTAGCATAGGGCCCCGAAGAAGCTGGAGACTGGAAGTAACTGCTGACAGAGAAGGAACCACCACCTCTCTGCTCCCAATATGTGTGGATTGTTTTAATCTTTTGTAATTTTAATTCATTTTTATATTTATAATTATTTTATATCTGTATGTTTTATTATGTGTTAAGCTGCTCAGAGTCACCTTGAGGCATAAGATGGGTAGCATATAAATTTAATGAATAAACAAACATATTCGAATTGTTTGTTAGTTTCAGTGGCACTTTTATGGACAGTGGGAAACAATTAACATAAACTTGAGTTCACTATATAACAACACAGATGAAAACATTATGAAAATGTATAACTTTAAGTACCATGGTTTTTAAAACATATTTCAGATGTTACTTTGATTTTATGATGAGGAGGGAGAGTGAAAAAATCTAACAAAGAACACATTGCAAAGCTGCATGAAAATACAGATTAATCTTGGAATTTATGAGAGGTAAGTCCACAGCTGCAAATACCTTTATTACGGTCATATTCTGTCTCTTGCATACCCATTGCTAAATGCCAGGAATGCCTTTTTATCAGTCATTCAGGCTTTTTCTTGCCAAAAATTATTTCTTCACTGAGCAATAATCCTAATCTCCAGAGTACCTCCAAAACACATTCATAAAATAATTCAAGAAGTGTTTCCTGTTGTTGTCATGATTCCAGTAAACTGGTGTTTCAGAAGTACCCACTTTTATTTAATTTGGAATTTGTAGCAAATAAACACACAAAATTTTGTCCTAGCAATGCAGACTGAAGGCTAAATCTTTACTATGAGTGCAAAGAGCAGACTTTTCCAACATCTGCTAGTCTGGAATCCTGTCAGGGATACTGTCACATTTCCTGAAATGCAGTTTATGAAACAAAGCCCTAGATAAAGGATGGAAACAACATTGGTTACTCTGATAGATCGTCACTTCAAAATCTCCTGGCTTTTTTAGTCTTCCTGGTAGCTTTTGATATTGTAGCATCAACCCTGGTATCTTGCTGAACCATCTGCAATTTCTGGGATGAAGAGGCACCATTTTATGGGTCTACTATAACTTAATTAGGCAATTCCAGTCAATAGTAAGTCCAGTCACTAAGCATGATGAAAGAGCAATCAAGTCCATGGTTGGTTTTGTAGTAAGGAGAGTGAGTGAAAAATATAATAATGAACACATTTCAAAGCTGCATGAAAGTAGAGATTAATCTATATCAGGGTGGTCAAACTCGATTTCATAGCCCGGTGCGGAGAGCCGTCCGTCACGGGAGCGGAGCGCGGCCGGAAGGGGGCCGCCTCTCGCCTGCGGCGAAGCGCACGTTCGCGGGGAACCCGGTGCTAAATCATTCGTAGACGACCTGATTCTGGGTCGGGGTTTCGTGCGTAGCAGAGCAGCTCCCTCGCTGCGATCTATTGAAAGTCAGCCCTCGACACAAGCTTTTGTAAAAAAGAAAAGAAAAAGAAAAAAGAAAAAAAAAAGAAAAAAAACTCGATTTCATTGAGGGCCACTTCAGGGTTGTGTTTAACCTTGCGGGGCTGAGGTGGGCATGGCCAGCTCGACATCACTCATGTCAGGGACGCTTGTTGCGGCCTGAGTGCTCTGCCAGTGAAAACGGGCTCCTGAGCTCTGTTTTTGGCTGCAACTGTCTCCTGCGACTCTCTGCCAGCAAAAACAGTTAGAACAACAGGTTGAAGCAATAGTTAGGAGTCTTTGCCTAGCTTAGCTTAGGGTATTTCTTGATATCAGAGATTTTGCTGACAGCGATTTATGCTATAGCAAGTTAAACCTGAGGCTGCCTTTGAGATGTTCTGGAACTGCAGTTTGTACAAAAAATGTGGTACCCAGATTGCTAGTGAGTGAAAGCCATTATTACAATGTAATGTAACACAATTTTATGATTGCTGCATTTGAATGCCAAAATGTTTCAAAAATGCTGCTTTTCACCTATGAGGTCCTAGTTCCAAGATACATAAGAGACTTTCTTTTCTATGCAAGAATAAGGAAAAGATTCCAAATTTGTTAGAGATCAGAAAGACATTGATCTGAAGTTAATTATTTTCTTTTATGAGATGGCCCACATGCTATGGACTACATTGCATTGGAGGTACACTTAGTACTCTTGTTACTGACCTATTAGGTTATTGGAATATTTTGTTTAAATAGCCATTTGGATAATTATTTTTTTTATATTAGATTTAGAATTGTCATTTTTAAAATGGGTTTTTCTGTAGTCATTTTGGTCAAAGCTGTAGTAATTTTGTTTACTAAATGTAAGAAAAAAAGTAGTGGGAGTGAGAGCAAATTTTGGCTTTCTATTAGCTTCCCCATTGACTTCATTTGTATGATCAGAAATCAAGGAGCATCGGAAATCACAAGCAAATGACCGCAGGGATGCTCTAACAGCCTTCATTTTGTGAATAAACTTGTAAAAATTTCAAGTCCATAGCTAGGAATTGAATGTGTCCTGGATTATTTTATGCATTCTTTAAATTAGTGGATTTTAGATACCTTAATTCAAAAATTGTTGCTTTATATTGCACTGTTTGGGCCAAATGAGGATACAAACAGAGCTTTAATAGTATAAAGATATGCAGCGTTTTCTTTTAAGGATCTCGGGGATAGTATATGGAATTCCTTTTTAAAACAAAACTATTTTTTATAATTTTTTAAAAATATACATGCATATTGTGCGTGAGCAGAGTTGGTTCTTGGTAACATTCATATTAATCCAATTCCCAATAACAGTATTAGTAATCTCTATCACATTTATCAAATTTAAGTAATCCTCATTATAACTGTTCAAACATACATAAACAAAAAATGCCTAACTCCTCATCTTTGTCTCTATCTCCAGTTCTATCGTTCTTGTTCAATCCAAACATTTTTCTATTATATATAAACACATTTGATTAGGTATCATTCATATTGATCCAATTCACGCTAACATGGTTAATAATCCCTATCACATTTATCAAATTTATGTAATCCTCATTATATTAAACATACATAAAAGAAAAATGCCTAACACCTATAGGCTTCTAATCTTTCTAACTCATCTTTATCTCTGTCTTCATCTGTATCTTTCTTGTTCAATCTAAACATTTCTCTATTGTGTATAAGCAAGGTTGGTTCAGGGTATCATTCATATTAATCCAATTCACATTGACAATGTTAGTAATCTCAATCACATTTATTAAATTTATGTAATCCTCATTATATTATTTAAACATACCTAAAAACGCCTAACATCTGTAAACTCCTATCTATTATTTTTATTCATTCTATAAAAAGTTATGTTCTAATATTTTCCCTAATTTTATTTCTGCCTCCTTCAGCTTACAATCAGGCTACTTTAATATTTAAAGGGCAATTATATCTATCCATCATCTCTTCTCCTTTTGAGTGCTTCCATTCTTATCCATTTTTTAATTTGCCTCCCACACTCATCTTTATCTCTATCTTCATCTCTATCTTTTTGTTCAATCTAAACATTTCTCCCAGTACAATCTTGTGCTGCCAATTCTCCCAAAGGGATAGTATATGGAATTCCTGAGCAGCCTCCAGTCCAGGGACTAGCCAGATCCTGATAACAAATAACCTTGCCAAGTGACCTAGCCAGTTCTGGTGATTTCCTCATTTTGGATTTCCTCATACTAAATTATTTATGTTGGACTTAATGCCATAGAGAATATACAAAACTTTCCTGATTAAATGGATGAGTTTGATTTATAATGCTATTTCTGCTGATATATTCATTTTGGCACTATAACATAATTACCAACAAATATATAGCAGCTTTTCTCGGCAACTTGGAATATTTCAATAATTGCTGTCTATGGAGATGGCAAGTACTGAAGATGACACGGGAGCAAAAGATTAATGTTCCCCTTAAAATGAAAGTAAGTAATCAGCCTGGAGTGCACGGCTACCAGATAAATTCTTTCCAGCA